ATTGATATATTTAATGACAAAATTGATATATTTTTAAAATGTTGTACAAAATTTGTAAGTTTGTAAAATAAACCTATGGCTCACTACACGTTTTGGGAAACTGTAAGTGTGGTGAGTAATTTTCAAATAAATAAATTATCACACATTAAAAAAAATCAGTGGACAGGAATATGGACAAGAAGCATATTGTATCCATACTCAGTACACAAGATATTTTTAAGAGGAGACAGGATCACTGTACAGTCAGATTTGTTAACCATCTTGTCAACTAAAATTTGCTTATATGTACAATTTTTAACTGTACCGTAATAACAGTTACAAGAAAAACCGACTTCAAAATTGTAAAATGTGTATTACATTGTTAGTCTATTGTATGTTTATTTGTCTAATCAGTTTAATCGAATAAAAACATTATAAAACTTTGTTTAAAATTAACCTTTAGCATCTTGCATCCCTAAATAAATACTACCTAATCTACCATGAAACCTTACCGAAATTTCGGAGTGTCACAAAAGAATGCTATTAAAATTGAACAATTTTGGTTGTTCGGACATTTTTCCTTTATTTATTTATTCATAATTTATTATACACAAAAATTACAATGTTATAATTTATTTTCAATAAAGATTTCCAACAGGCGAGCTTCTCTGTTAGAATTCTCTTCAAGCAAATTCAAATTTTTTATTAGGATTTATGAAAAATAATGCATTACTCTCCGTTTATAGACCCAAATTCGATATGACCGTATTCCATTATACAATCGAAATTCAAGTATAATGTTTTATGGTAGAGTCCCAGGCATAGATAAAAAAAAAAAATTATACCGATCAATAATGAGATTTTATAAATATTTTCAATACATAAATAAAGCATACATTTTGCATAATTCCCACACTCGCACACACCCCAAAGTCCGAGAGCTAATTATCGTAATTAGAAGCAAGTTTTTATGTGTACAACCCGACACAGGCGTTCGTTCAAAGATGCCGCGATTGCTCGTCAGATAACGTTTGATTGCCCGTGATGTATCTGTAGCCCGCCATCGCAAGTGCTCGCATCTGATATTATTTATAATGTAACGTAAGTACGTGGTTACTTTTAAACTTTCGCATTTAGTATAAGCAAATAGTAGTGAGTGTAATGAACACACAAATTATTTTATCCGTATTTTTCATTCATTATTATTATTTCATTTTTTTTTTTATTATTGAGGAAATTCGCGGCTGGTTTTTGGCTACAGCAGAATATTAGTGTTTTGTTTTTTTTGAAGGCAAAGCAATAAACTGTGTTGTGACCATTTTGTGTTACTATGGCATACGCAATAAAAGGAAAAAAAATTGTTACTTCTTTTATGTATTTTGCTTTTTTGTTATAAATTTTATCTCTTTTTTATTGTGAATGTCTAACTATGCCTGTTGTTATTTGTGTGCTGTAAATAATGCAAATAAATTATATATCTATCTATCAATACATTCTGTTACGATGATGATGTTGCGAATGATTGTAAGGAGAAAAGGTATTGAATTTGAATGAACATTGGTACATGGTCCTAATTTAACATATAGTTATTAATATTATTGACGATCTTCGTAGTGTAATGGTTAAACACACCGCCTCGCTTTTTTATAGTAGTGGGTTCAATTCATTCATATATATAGTGAATTTGTTTTTTTGTTTATTACCTCTTAGCACCTTAACGGCTTTAAACCACTCACTATTAACTTTGGTAGATATATATTCGTATTATACAGGAAGAAGAAGGACATAAGATATTTTTATCCAGGTCAATATATCCCGGTCACGTGGACAAAGTCGCGGGTAATTAATTAAAAGCTAATAGATAACTAATATATCTTTTGTTGATAAATTCTTAAAATGAAAGTGAATTTGTTTTTTACCTCTTGGTGCCTTAACGGCTGAACCAACCGTCATAATATTAGCTATGCACATAATATTTGAGATGGAGAAGAACATAGGTTACTTTTTACCCCGGTAGATCAAGTTAATCAACTTATCCCGGTCAAAAACGTAGTCCCGAATAAACATTAGTTTAAAATATAATCTAATTAGATTATCCGAGATAATTATTATTATTGTCCCAAATAAGATTTACTTATCTCGAACAAGAAAGAAGTACTGGTTAAAAATAAAAAAATAAACTTGTTTTATAATAAAAACGTCGAAATAACAAATCCTGTTACTAATTGATGTTGCTTTATCAACGCTCTCGTCGACCACAAACAAGTTGGTAGTCAACAAACAAACACACACAGTTCACCATTAGTGTCCAAACGGCGTCATGACATTATTGCATCCACTCGAGAAGCACTCACTTTGAGTTGGCATCAATTTGGCGACCCCAGACTCGGCTCAACTCTTGGGCCATTGTGCTACGCTGGGGAAAATATCAAAGTGAAATTATTTGATTCTGAGTTGAAAAGATCAAATACGTGTCTCGATATTGAGCACCTAGCTTTTGATGCGTGGATTCTGGATGTAATATTTGCGATATGTTACATATTGGTAGGCTGTTTGAAATTTATTTTTTGTATATAACTTAAAATGGCTAACTGTCGGCCTGCCTGATGAAAAGTGCTTATCATTGTCTATAAACATGAACGACACCATAAATTAATGTTAATGTCATGTCAATTCTGTAATTAGATAATATACTATGACGCTCGTTATAAATAGCATACCTACATGTGTCCTGTTTCTGAGTATTAAGGTATTTTCATATATATCTAGTAACTTCACTGCCATATCAAAGCTTTCTAACCGAACAACAATAACAAGACCTAGTATGTTTTTGTTGGCAACTACGTCTGCTTAAACTTAGATAGTAAAATATGTTACAGAATGGAAAAGTAAGGAATAATAAGGAAACATTGTATTTACAGAATTCAATTAGATATCTAAAATTCAAAACGAAAGGTTTCTATATCATTTGCATGGCTTACTTGAAATCTTATTATATTTAGTTATAGACGTACTACAGTCTAATATAAAAAGTAAATTTAAAAAGTATTTATTTGAAAATTTCATATAATTAGTTATAAACAATAATAAACAATTGCCGTGTGGTCCCGGCATGAAATAAGCCAAGCAGCCCCTTCCTTTTCCGTGAGTATTGTAAGAGGCGACTAAGGCGAATGGACAGCAGCACCCATCTTTAAATATCACAAAAGCCTAACTGCGGTTGCCAACCCGCCTACCAAGCATGGCAGCTACTGGTAAAATAAATAAGCAAACTGCTGTAGGGAACTTCTCCATTCCTTATAACAGTCTATAGGGCAGGTCTATGTTCAGTAATGGAGAGATAATATCTAATGTGATATGATGATGTGGTGATATTTTGCGGAAATCTATATCACTTGTTAGTTGATTAGATTTTTTTTCTTTTTTATTTCAAGTAAATAGTTACATAGACAATACATATTCTTAGTGCTGTGAAACTGATTTGCAGTTTGTCTGCAGATCTACGCTCATGTGCATCATCATTTCAGCCATTATCCGTCCACTGTTGGACATAAGCCTCCCCCATAGACTGCCATAAAGAACAGTCCTGTACCACCTGCATCCACTGACTAGATTAATTTCGTTACAATTAATATGCATGTGATTACCAACACTTGAAGATTGACTACTATAATTATTATCAGAATAATTAAACAAAATAATCCTAATCGGCTAACAAATAATCGTAACCTACGAGTATAAACATAAATAACTCACCTTAACTCAATTCAACATAAATAACTCACCTTAACCCTTTTTTTTTTTGCTGTGGGGAAAGGAATTGTAGTAATGGAGACTGAGAATCCTATTGCTAGCAATATACCCAACCAGGTCGACCTTCTTGCGGTTCTTCCTGGAAACTATTATGGGTAATTCTTGATGAATTCATCATGATGGGCTAACTGGCCTGTTTTCATTCTCATCTATCACCCTTCACTGGTGCTCCGCCAGCGTATCCCGTTAGCGCAGGCGGAGTTACCATACCATTTTCACCCTTAAAAAAAAACCCTTTTTTGCTGTGTCATTTCTAAGTACTGTTACGCTCTTATTCATAAAAACGTCAATCCTCTCATAAATCTATTTTAGCTATTGAAGTGTTTTCTCTTTCTTTTGTGCTAAATACGCAATTTGAATGAAAGTGACAAAACAGTGTAATACTTGAAATAGGTTTATAGGAGGTTTTAGTTTTTAGGATTTTTAATCATTAAGTTAATTTGTCATATTTTTGTAAAATTCTTCAAAAAAACTGTTCCTTCAAGGTTTATAACACGCATGGGAAACCTCGGCTATGGTAACTATTTATCATCAGGCGAACCGTATGTTTAATTGTTACCGTTATTATTATACAAAATATGTTATACAATATTTAATATACTTGTATTGTACTGTAGTTTTAAATTAAATTACTCACAAAAAATTCGCTACTGAGTGTCGAAACACAAAAGAAAGACATAACATTCATTATATTGATTAGATTCGTCATTAGAAGGTACAGTTGATGTCAAAAAAACATACACATTCATCTTTCGCATGTTTCCTGTCCGCCGCCCACTAGTGTATCGCTAAACGATCACCTGACCTAATCACCGCGGACACAACATCTCAGTCAAACAATAAAAAACAAACGAACCGACGGACACACGCTCCGACTACCGTTTGGTTACCGCGATGGGTGGCACAGCCTCCAAGCTACCTATCTATCTCGCATCTAACTTCATTACTACCATCAAATCGATCATTATCGGCACTCACGAACACCGCAACTATTTGTACTATGCAACAATAGATGGCGCTTTCCAAGTAACACACAATTCAGCACGATCATCTACCAATTAGTACCGTCCGCTCCTTTCACTTGTGCTACGAGTGAACGGGACAAAACATCAAAGGAGCATAATGACGAGTCTTGATTGTAATTGATGATGCGATTGTCTAATATCAATTTGGGGTCGAATTTTGAACGTCGATTTCTTTGTTCGCAGGTCACGAAGCGATGGGTTGTTAGGTGCGCGCGCGCAGTCAAATTTTGGTCTAAGGGGGAAGTGGGGTAGGTTAGTGGTGGGTTGGTTTGTGCGAGGGGGTGTCGGGGTGTGAGGTGAAGTTAGCGGGGTGGCGCTTCACGGGGGCTGGGGGCGGCCGGCGCCGGCGCCCGCGCACGCCGCCACCACGCTGGTCGGCGGGCTGGTTGCGCCGCCGCGGGAACCCACCACGGCGGCAGAAGCTTTTTGGAAGATGCCTCATAAAGGTAAGACAATATTTTTTCTGTATTAACGCAAATGAAGGTCCGTTTTATTCAATTAAGCTGTAGACTATTGAACTGAGTCGCATTTGTCGTAATCACAAGCTTAAAATTAGAGTTTATATTTACAGCTCTCAAATGACAATTGAATGGACGACTTTGACTTAAATATCACCTATTAATATGTATTCTTTGTTGCATTTAAACAATATATGCGACGATTAGTTTAACAACTTGTTAGCAAGGGAGGACTTATCTCTGAAAGAGATCTCTTCCAGCCAAGCCAGTGTAGTTACAAAAAATTGCTCTTATACTTGAAATGCATTTATTAATATGATTCTTAATGTGTTTTAATTATGATTTACAATAAACAATACCAATATAACATAAATGATAGATTACTAAGATTTCTACATCTATGACAGTTTAACTAAATTATTATTGTAACAAAATTAAAAATTATTTTTGTGACTTGGAATTCCAAATATACTGTCAGGTCCAGCTCCTACGTAAAAAAAAGTGGTACGTAAAGAAAAACAATAACAACATCATACACATAACTTCATACTGTGATGAATTCTAATCGAATTATTCGATTTCCAAAAATAAATTTATAGCGGAGTGATTTATTAAGTTATCAAATCGGATTTATGTCGATATCAAATCGAATACACGTCAAATGGACATATCTTATATGTAACACCTATTCGACGTGGTTTCGAATTGATAGTAATTCGTTTGCGTCATAAGTCACTTCGAAGTATAAATAGAACTTTCTATTTATATCTATGACTGAAGATATATAATAATATATCTATATAAGTACATTCATGCCAGCTTTAACCTGCGACTTCTTACACGTGGATTTTGGATGTAGATAAATAAAACATATATCAGACTTTAAGGTATCTGAAGACCTTAAAATCTGATTTCAAATAGTAATATTCCTGAGAACATGACTATTTGAAAAGCTCATCAGGCTTTAAGTCCGCCCTCTAGAAATATTTTGATATGAATAATAAATAACTTTGAAAACCACAGCCAATTTGTTGCAGTAGTTTCCACGTGATATCCAAAAAACCTTCATACATATACAAACAGTAAGACAAAATTGTAAAAAAATATTATTTTGGCTTCTATTATTTTTATTAAGGCATTATTTATTTATTTATTTTACACTTTATTCTGTCAAATAAAAAATACCGTAAATATTAATGAGAAATGATACAAAAGGCGGCTTTACCGCTGAGCAAACTCATCCATACAACCTTTGGGTAAAGGGCGTTGAGAAAAAGACAAACATTATTATACACGTTACATTTTTCTTAAATATCCTCAATGAAACATCGCATCGACTAATTTCAATTTTACTGAATGTAGATATAATAATAATAACTTTATTGCATAACCATGATTGTATCAAACTTAGCACTGGAAATTACAGTAAAAGTAGATACAAATTCATTTGTACATTTGGATCAGTTTAAACATCTGTGTCTGAACGAGGTTATAAAACCTGTATTTCAGACAACAGCGCTCAACCCTCATTACATAGTATAATATTAGTTCAGTTAAATTTTTAGAACTACATAATACATATATATATGAGTATGAAGTACATCAACACCCAAAACTATAAAGTAAGCAGCTGAACTTAGTTTTTCAATAAATGACACCCATGTAACAGTTACTCATAAACAACAACTAACAAGGACAGGTAACTCCAGTTGTTTACAAGTGCACAAACGTTAAAACTGTTTCCTTGGTAGTTTATAATGCTAGAGCCAAGTTCTCGGCGTCGTAACTCGCTCTTGGGATCTTATTTTGTACACTACTAATTGTCAGTACATATATCTATATAGACATATCGTTTTGTTATTGGTATACTAAAATAGATTTGACTATGGAAAACTTGCTGATTTCTTGTAACTTGACATAGTTATGTTGAATACGTAACCGTGTCAAGAAACTTTGTAAAAAACTCCACGACTAAAAAGGGCAGCAAAGGTATTTTCGTTTTTTTTAAAGAAAATACACATATATAAGCATTATGTGATTTAAAAACATGTGTCAGTTACAGCTGACTAAATTTTTACCCGATTTTAATACGCGATGCTATCTATATAACCTAAGTGTGTAATGTATCGACATGCAGTACCTAATTCTTATTTCCTAATATTAAATAAAATGAAAACGTTTTTGTTTGGTTGTTAAGTGAGAAGAACATAATAGACTTTATTCTTTTATTATGTCCTGGTAATGTTATTTGTGAATGTAATTGAGGAATGAAAAAAATGATCCTCTAATTTTTGTAAAGTTTTTTGAATATATTTAGGTATATATATATATATATATATATATATATATATATATATATATATATATATATATATATATATATATATATATATATATATATATATATATATATATATATAGTATATGGAATATTAAGTATATGAAAAGAACGAGGATATACTCGTTTAGTGCCATGGACGTACGATTCGACATCATCCATCTCTTATTAGCTACTTTGGCAATATTGTCCAACTTTCTAACTAATGATCTGTATCATGTTCTATTACTGTCTCTGGGTGACCATTCCGGTACTGGTTCCGGTAAAAATGTCCATTGTATCGTATCGTATAAGCCTTTAACTGCCCATTGCTAAACATAGACCTTCCCCATAAAGCGGTTTTTTTTTAAATTATTAAAAATTAGGTATTTTTAAATTAAATAGGAATTATCCCACCTTTGGCAGGCAGATTGACAACCAAAGTTAGTCTTTGGTAATGTTTTAAGAGACGCCGCAACCTATTCGTCAACCATTAAATTCTTTCAGTCGCCTTTTACGATATCCACAAATAGAAAGGGGTGGCCTATTCGATGCCGGAACCACACAGCAAGTATGTGCAAAATTAGTGATTACCGCTCAAAAATAAATTTTAAAAGTTTATACCTATATAGTGATTAATTCAACAGTAGTTCCTAGTAGGCACTCAACACAAATTCTAACTATTCTAGCATCTCGGGCTTGCTCGGCTAAGTTGTGCGAGTTTGCAAGTCGTTAAGTTACTGACCTTTAAGTTAGAAGTAGCTGCCGTCTAACCACGGCGCTAACAAGCCACTGTAGTTTCACAGTTTCGACGTGTATGGAGTATGGATGAATATAAAGCATTGTTTATACTTTATAAGTTTTAGAATTTAGCATTAAAGTAGCTAGGTTATACTCCGCAAACAAGGGTAAAGTCAACTTTCTTGCGAAATTAAATTGTTACGAATTTATTTATCAAAAACATAAAATAAGACAGATGAATTGCAAAACTCCTCCTTTCAGGAGTCTCTAAGAAATTTCAGAATGAGGTTTTCCCAAAGAGGTTGCACGCGTCTATCATATTATGCGGTAATTTATTACCATTAGGCGTGCCTTATGATTGTCCATCATTACCTAAGTACGTACAAATTCTATTTTATTTAATAATTAATAAGCATTATTTATTCTCAAAACAGATAATATTTGCAAATGAAAACCATTTACAAATCTCGCCTAATTCGAAATTTTTCAATCACTCAACAACTATTGGATTATTTAAAACAATTAATATTTTCACATTTTTATAATACTTCTTAAAAGTCAACTTATTATAATAAAAAAAATCATTATAATCGGTTCACATTCATTAAAGATATCACGCGTCATAAGTAACAAAGAAATTTGCAGTCCAATTGACATTTATTTATTTATTTAAATCAGTGCTTAATCAAACAAAGGACAGATTTTTTATGAAAGCATATTATACAAATTAAGTTAAACTTGTCTCTTGGATATTTGGCTCTATAAGAGAAACATAATTATATACGAAGCCAAGCTAACGGGGCATACGACATTGTCACTTTAGCCGCCAGATAAAGACAAATAGAGTGGAAAAACTGCTGTTGGACAGAGACAAATAGTGTATACCTACTCGGTCGTGCTACAGTAATTTTAATGATTTAGAGAACGCATTTGGGGCGCTCTCCACCAAAATACTGACTTTCAATAGGTATTATAGATATGTTGTTTAAATTGTTAGCTTTGTTTATCGGTATTACGTTTTGTTTGTAAATAAACAAGATTTTAATCTGTATTTAAGTTATTCTTAAACGACTCCAAAAAGAAGTAGATTCTCAATTCGGTTGTATTTTTTTTTTTTATATTTTGTCATAATCATATCAGTTGTTAACTGTGAACAATTCAGTAGTGGAGTGGTAAACGTAGAGCTCCCCCATAAGTGGGGGCTTTGTCAATAGTTGCCACGCTTGGCAGACGGCTTGGCATCCGCATTTAGACTTCGGCGATGTTTTAAGAGAGACGCTGCTGCCTATCTCTCGACTATTGTAGTAAAATGGGTTTATGATATTTAGCTTTTTTATAAATAAGCAGGTTACTGTATAATGAAATGCGTCATCTATCAAATGGGATGTTAGGTCGACTGGGGTTTAACCCTTAAATACCTGAAGTTTCAAATTTGATACCGGGGTTATAAATCGCATTGGCCGCCTACAATCGATTAATTAATATTTGGCTGTTTACATGTAACCAATTTTTTTTTCAAAATAAATATATAAAAATATTGTTTTGATTTTTTTACTATTTTTCCCCATTAGTAAACACCTTATATATTTTTTCATTTGATTTAAAAAATCAGGCTTTTAAGGGTTAAACGGGCTGTCGCTACTGTAGCGTTCAAACGGGAGTCAGTGTCACCCAGCACATGATACGATGAAGGACACCGTGGTTAGCCGATAGGAATCCAGCAGTACCCATACGCCTCCCCCGGAGCATATGGGTCTGCATGATGCATTTCCCCACGTGGTTAATAATTGTTGAATTCGTCACGATGGACCAACAGACCTGCTTTATCCTCACCTATTGTCTTTCACTGATGCCCCGTTAGTGGATACCGCCGGATAGCGCCGGTGGAATCACTATTTCATTTTTATCTTTTGAAAAAGCATTGTAGTGC